GTGTGTGTGTGTGTGTGTGTGTGTGTGTGTGTGTGTGTGTGTGTGTGTGTGTGTGTGTGTGTGTGTGTGTGTGTGTGTGTGTGTGTGTGTGTGTGTGTGTGTGTGTGTGTGTGTGTGTGTGTGTGTGTGTGTGTGTGTACAAAAAAACTAAGAAAAAAATTTTTTTTTTAATTGGTTTTTTTGGAATAACTTCTAAACGGCACTATCGATCAACTCCAAAAACTAATAAGCTCTTAACCTTGAAAAACTACGTCGATCGCCGCCAAGGACGTCAAAATAGATTGATTGGTTCCTGAGTTATCGTTGTCGAAAAAATTCGGAAAAAGTGAATTTTTCAAAGTTCTTCAAAATTTTGGTCTGATCAATTTGTGTTTGAAAGTAAATCCTAGGATTTTAAAAATTGCATCGAATGCTGCCAACGGCGTGAAAATCGGTTTATTCATTCAAAAGTAATCGCAGTTTTAAAATTTAAAGAATAGTGTTTTATTAAACTTATATCAGAGTTTTGAGCTCGAACGGCTCAAAAGCATAGAACTGCTAACTATTTGAGCTTGGAGAGCTCAAAATAACACATAAATTATATTTTTGGGGTCAAAAAGTTAAGTGAGATAAGTGCGATTTTAAGCGCTTATGTATGGAATTGGCGGGAAGTTGCAGGGACGGCCGTTAGGGTTAGCTGTTTTCCGATTTTTTTTTTTTTTCACAAAAACGTATGTGAACACTGTTTAATATATTATCGTATATGTTAAAAGCATCCGTTTATATACAAAAAGATTTTGAAGTTTTCCGAAAAACGGTGAGAGGTAAATCGCTTATTCAAGCTTTTAATTTGTTAACGTAAGTGCGTTATTACTATTGAAAATTTTCAATAGTAATGATTAATTTTTTTTATCATAAACGAATACATGCGTTCAAACACAAAATAAAATTTACTTCAACCAAAAAATAATTTTGAGGAACTTTATCGTCGTGATTTGGAAATTTTTAAGCTAAGCATATTTTTTTTGGTTTAAGTAAATTTTACTCAATTCAAGAATTTTTCGTCTTGATTCATGACAATAAAACTCTTCAAAATTATTTTCTTGTTTCAACAATTTTTTCTCTTGATTCAAGTTAATTTGTTTTTCAGTATATATATAAAACATATGTGATATAGATGAAAATATGTGAGCCAATGTAATGAATTGTACAAATACGTTTTTGGCGATAAAACATATAAATTAGATATACGTAGCAAGTAATTTATTAATATCTTTGCTTATATGTTTTCAAATTTATTTTTTTCATAGAGGACACGCATTTTAAATTTTCATTGGTTGATACACAGTATGAAAAATAATGAAAATATTAATAACTATTAATATGTTATAAAAATGAAATCAGGTACACAATTAATCAGGTACTAACAAGTAAGATTTATTACATCTTCATGATCTTATAAGAACATAAAATTTTTCATCGTAATAAATTTAAGTAACAAGTGATTTTTATTCATTCATGTGCACATTATTTCGAAAAAACGATTGTTTTGAAGTTAATAGTAGTACATTAATATTCATTGTTTCATAAAAGTACTTATATTGATTAGTAATTATGCTAAGATTGAAGCTTTGAATAAAATGTGCAGGCGAAATGACTCGTAAAATCGTGAACCCTCACCACCATTCTTAACATCCTCCTTTGATTCCTCGGTTGCCGATTGAATAGTTTCTTTACTAGTATTGCATCCCATTTTTTATTGATGTACTAACCACTGTTTGTCAACGTACAAAATTCAATTATATTTCGCAATGAGTTTATAGTTTTATTTATTGGACTCTTAGTTGCTTATGAAGGTTATACTTTTATTAAATTTAATTCGAAAATTTCTAACATTAACACATTTAAAAAACTATAGTTTGAAATTTTTGAAAAAATTACGAATGCTTATTAGTATATAAAAAAATTGAGTGGATAAAATATCACCAACAAGAAAGTATGTGAAACGTATGTTTACATATAATATAAAATACTATTCTACAGTTGTTAAATATACATAATTAGGTTCAGAAAAATATTATTCTAGATTTAGTTTGAGCTGAAACAGAGGATTATGTAGTTAAGGATTTATCACTAAAATTTGCTACAGAAATATCTGAGGATTACTATCAGAAACTAATTCTATTCTACAGCAATCAACATGAATATCCCGTCGATGTCGCGGGCGTACTGACTACAATTGCTTTCGACCCTGCCCTTGTGTCACGACAGTCTGAGTCAATATAGATTATTTAGTATACATATCTGACTCCAATAGTTGAAGCTTCAACCACCCTGCTTTTGCTTAGTCGTAGAAAATGATCGATCGATTCTGCATATGGGTAATTCCATGTTACGCCAGCTACTTTTCAACTTGAAAAACAAAAATTTTTAACTTCCCGCTAAGGAAATTGAAAATTTTCAAAAATCGGGAAGTTATTGGTTTTACCCCGTTTTTCGAAAATTGAGTTTTCATCAGATCTCGACGTTTTGAGGTCCTAGGAAGCTTCCCTGACTATTCCCGCGAGGGTGTCACTATGTCTGTATGTATGTGTGTGTTTTTTTCTTTTTTTTTTTTTTTTTTTCCCTTTAGGGGAGGGGGAATCCTTTTTACGGATTCTAGACATAGATGTTGGCCCGGATATGTGGCGACTCGACGCAGCGTCATACTAAAACTTGACGCTGACGCCCCTACCCAACTAAACCCTAAACCCCTTTCCTCTTTCCTCTAATCCCTCATGGGAACCGCCGTTAGGCATTACTTCGTGAGGGGAGGATCTAGCTACTGATCTTCCTTCTGGTGGCTAAGGTGTTAACTACCTTCCTTCTATCTTCTGCTATTTGCTCTTCTTCTTGCGTTCCACCGAAAGAAGAAGAGAAAATAGCAGAAGATAGAAGGAAGGTAGATAACACCTTAGCCACCAGAAGGAAGAGCAGTAGCTAGATCCTCCCTTCACGAAGTAATGCCTGACGGCGGTTTCCATGAAGGATTAGA